TATTGTTCTACGTACAATCCTTGTTTTATTGATTGCATGTAATATTCTAATTTTCTGAGATCGAGTTTCTTTTTCGAGTTTCACCTGTATATAATGTAATGAATGAACAATTGTAAAATTTCTTGGGAGCTTTACTTAGTTAATAAGGTTGTTTGGGAAGAGCTATTTTCAAGGTCCCTTATTGTCTTTACTTGTTATATTTCTCAAAATTCTGGTACCGTATGTTTTGCTCCATAAGACACTTTTTTCCCCAAAAAAATGGGGGGAAATGTCTGTGTTTCTTATGGAGCGAACATTGACCAGGCCTCCCCCCTCCCCCCATCGCCACCGCATGATAGAATACCGGGCCAGCCAACAAGGAGGGGACGGGGCCAGGTCCAGAAACTCCACTGACCTTGCCCCCATGCAGCCTGTATGCTCAAGAGGGAGCTGCTGTAGTAGAAGTTGTGATGCGAGTGGGAGCCCCACCCCCGGACCTCAGAGAGGATGCAGAGCACTGCTGGCCAGGTATATCCTTTCCCCCATAGACTGCTTGTGGACTGTTATACCAAACCCTGAGCTGTTTTTCACAAACTGCACATCTGTGCTTTGCTGAAAGAACTCATCCCCTGTAATATGTCTGCAATCTCTGGTCATCTCCAGTAGTTTGTCTGCAGTCATCTCCTGTACTATGTCCGCAGTCTCTGGTCATCTCCTGGACCATGTCCGCAGTCTCTGGTCATCTCCTGGACTATATCTGCAGTCTCTGGTCATCTCCTGTACTATGTCTGTAGTCTTGGTTCAGAATATTTTTTTTCTTGTTTTCTTCCTCTAAAACCTAGGTGTGTCTTATAGTCAGGTGCATCTTATGGAGCAAAAAATATGGTGCCTAGATGCTGGGTTTTCACAATGAACATTTATGACTTTTGGTCAACACTAGCCAGGTTATGTCGGGTCAGGACTGTGTGACTTCATTGTGTTCCACAGAGTTAAATAGGTCATTTATATTCAGTCAACATAGTGTTTGTTAACATCTGCTTCTTAAGTGTATCTGGTCGGTTAACAATTTTGAATGTCTTTTGTTATAGATGGTCTATTGTAAAGAAAGGACACTTTTGTTCCCAGGAAATTACTGGTGTTTCATAAGTGCCTTATTGAGTGGTATTTCTTTGGTAATTTATGTATCAAAATCATGACAACACGAGAGCGCAAAAACACACACACGCGGGAATGAGCGCATTGTGGTGTGAACTAACTAGCCCTTACTGTTTCACAAGTTTCTGGAACAGGCCTCAAGAAAGGCCTTTTTGTAAGCCTTAGGCTGTAGTTTGAATCCTAGGTGGCACCCAGGAATTGAAGTGTTGGCCCTCTGGGGCTGAGAGAAAGCAATTTTATCTATGATGATCTAACTCATGCTGATCCTGCTGAGGAAAGAGAGTTGGGGTCACTGGTGTATACATAGGAAATGTCACTTGTCTGTTTTCTTTATCTACCAGATAAGAGGAAAATACAGGAACCTGGTGCAGCCGTGACTTAGTCATTAGTGATTCTGCACTAGGGGCATCAGTTCAAATCCCAAACAGGACACCACCTACATAGAGATTCCATGTTCTGTCTGTGCTTCCATTGGATTCTTCCAACACTCCAAAGACATTCTAGAAGGTTATTTGGCTTCTATCTACATTTGTCCCAGTATCTGAGATAAGGACCTTAGATTGGAAGCTCCTTGAGGTTAGGGACTGATGTTTATGTAATGTGCTGTGTTAATTGTCAGCTCTATATAAATAGCTGTTATAAATAAGTAGCATTGGAAGCTACTTCAGCCTGCTGCATGCATGAAAAATCTGGGCATTCTTCCAGTATTTGTCAGCCAAAGAACTGTTGCTTTCATGTTTTTAAGTCTTCAACCTAGTACTCCAATTTTCAACAATGAAGGCTTAAAAGGCATTCAAGGACTAGGCTGCCTTGTTGCCAAGGAACTAAGTATGTAAATCTGCCTGAGGATAAGGTTATCTTGTTTGAGGATCTTGCTTATGCACAAGGCTCAATTTAGTTGAGCATTACCAGAGAAAGTTATTCAGGGGGTTGTGAATTTCCATCTTTCCAGAATTTCAGCATTTAATTACCATACAGATGCATTTTATTTATTAGACAGAATAAAGAAAATTTACCTGCCATTGGGACTACATAAAGAATTCTGCCTGTGACTGCTAATTACAAGATTTTGAGTGAGATATGGTGATGACTCTACTGCGCAGTTCACTTGTCCCTTGCTTGAGAGGAAGTTGTATTTGGAAAGATCACCCTGCTTCTAGTTTATTCATTCTGTAAATATGTGCTTTCTCTGAAAGTGAGGAAGCAAACCTCTACCAAGATCACTGCTTCCACAAAGAAAGAACATGCAAAACAAGGTATGGTAAATCAGTAAGGAGGAAAAGATCAGCTATAGGGAGAGCACAGGAGACACTGGTGTTATGTTTTAGCTCTCTCTTCTTGCCTTTTTTGTGCATAGCTTTCAGAGTTCAGTTCCTCTTTAAGTGCTGGAAAAGGTTTCATCTCTATGTTTACCTGGTAAATATTTAAAAATACATTTCTTGCAGCAATAAGCCTAGGTGATTTTTTACTCACCTAGTTGCAGTAGACATGTGTGATTCAATTCATTGAGATAAATTTTTTGGATGAAAATTTTCTGAGATTTGGATGTATCCGAATTTCTGACTGGACATACAGTAGTAAACAATTCTGATCTAATCCAAAAAAGTATAACTAAATTTTCAGATTCATTTGGATTCATTCAGATCATTTGGATCATGAAGAAGAGCTAGATGGTAAGGAGTGGGTGGCCACAGCGCCCTTAACAACCATGACTCATCCACTGACAGCAGAATGTAAACAAAAGAAGTTCTGGGTAAAAAATAAAAAAAAACAGCACAGGGTCTCCCAATCCATACCAGGCCTTTCGGGTCTTTAAATGGATTTTGAAAGGAACCTTATGCCAAAAATTTTGTAAAATTGGCGTGGGTGTTCCCCCTCCCCCAAAATACTTACCAGACTCTTATCTGAGCATGCAGCATGGCAGGCTAGAAAAGGTGGGACAAGTGAGTGCAACTGTCCTAAACCATACCAGGCCACATAACCTAAACATGGGGGGCACTTTGGGGAGAGGGGCTCCCTCCCAAAGCACCGTATCCCCTTCAGTATATGGCCTCTTTCCCACAACCCTGGGTAATGGTTGTGAGGGTCTGTGAATCTGGAAGCCTCCTTTAACAAGGTGGTTCCCAGATCCTGGCTCTCTCCTATGTGAATGAGTATGGGTTATACTGTATAGTACCCCTGCTCATTCACCCCAAAAAATGTCAAAAGTAAAAAAAACACAGTTTTTGACAAGTCCTTTATTAATAAAAACCCAAAAAATAACTGTCCTTTGAAGTATATTCAACATCAATCATGACCCCGACAGAAAAAAAAAATTCCCCGCTGAACATGATTGTCCCATCAAGGGACACACGCTGAATAACAAATAAACATGGGGGGGGGGGGTTACCCAGTGACATCAGTTGGTGACCCTGCCCCCAAATCTACCTGTAATTGGGTGAGTGGATGTCCACAGGACATGTCATTTACCATTTGAGAGGTTGACATGTGGATGGGGTCACTTTGTATGTGTGTGTTTTTTTTTAACTTTTTTTTTGATGAATGAGTAGGGGTACTATGTATCCCACACTCATTCACATGGGGGTGCTGGGATTTGAGAGCTCAATTTTTAAAGGGGCCTCCAGATTCCAATAAGCCCTCCACCCACAGACCCCCACAACCACTGCCCAGGTTTGTGGTTAGAAGGCCCTTGTTCCCCCTCTTTCCTGACCTGTCAGGCTACATGCTCAGATAAGAGCTGGTATGGATTTTGGTGGGACCTGCATGCCATTAAAAAAAAATTTAGGGTGGGGTTCCCCTCCCCTCAAAATCCATACCAGACCCTAAGGGCTGGTAAGGATTGAGGGGGTAGGTCCATGCTGTTTTTTTTTATTTTTTAACCAACACTTTATTTGTTTACATTCTGCTGACAATGGGTAGGTCATGGTCTTTAAGGATGCAGTGGCCATCCGGCAGCCCACTCCTTACCAACCAGTTCTATTCCAAATGAAACAAAACTAATGCTGAAGATACAAAGCAAATTCTGAAAACAAGTAGGTCCATAAACGAATGCATTCTAAAATTCATTCTTTAATTAACAAATGGATTCAAACATAAAAGGAAAAAAATTTTCCGTCCAGCACATATCAAATCTACAGTCTTTCCATCTACTTGTTACGTTCACAAGTTCACAAGATGCAAAAACCCAAACTCTGAGCTGTTTGGAGGATTGTGTTTCCATCAAAATTGAAAGCAAATTTGAATAAAAAAATAATAAGCATTGAACATGTTTTAGTTTTTGTTCAAGTTGCTGGCACTAATATGATGTTTGAAGGACCAAATATTATGCCATATGTTCTTAATGAGTTACATCATTTGTTAGATAAATAGACACATGCACATGGAATGTACATACTAGAGATACCATCTTGTCTTCATTAACCTCTTCAACTTTTCAATGTGTCTAGTAAGTCCACAAGTTGAAGAGCTACAAACAAGCAAAATTCTGTGCTTTATGAGTTTCTGAGCTGCTAAGCTTGTTTCTATTTGGTGCATTGGACAATGGTTAGTGGCTGTAGAGCTGCTCTATAACTTGTATAGCTCCTGTGGGTGTCCCCCCCGTTCCTAGGTGTTCATGGGAGTCCAGGACTACAAGATCTCTGTTAGAATAGTGAGTGGGAGGAGATTAGGGAACTTCCCTTTATTGATCTAATCGGCTGAGTGTGAACCTGGAAGTAAAATGCTCGCTAAAAAGCCAGTTACACAGGATCTTGATCTCCTGGAACAGAAGGCAGTGGACACATTAGAGGTCTAATAGATCCGAGAGGACTCTATAAAAAGTACCTGTCATCTTCACAATAATATCTCATAAGAGGCTTGTTGGCTCCCTTGTGAAAGCAATTAAGTTAACCTCTTAGCACCGGCCGCACACAAATGTGCGGCCTCCCGGTGTCTGGGCCTAGACGCCGAGTGGCCACACATTTGTGTGCAATTAAGAAAAACATATGTGCTGAGAGCGCACTCCCAGCACACATGTTCGGTACTCACGGAAAGGTCCCGATCTCCTCTTTCGATCGGGACCTTTCCCAATCATGTGACCGCCATGATGGCAAATCATGGCGGTCAGATGAGCCTAAAAACCCGTCTCCCGGCTTCTGAAACCCTTAAAGGGCCAGGAGGTGCCGCCGCCAAGGGGTTAAACACATTTTTTTTTGCTAAAAAAGTACTTGTTATCCCAAAACATTATATATTTTTAAGCAGAGACTCTAAGGAATAAAATGAACCTGGAAGTAAAATGCTCGCTAAAAAGCCAGTTACACAGGATCTTGATCTCCTGGAACAGAAGGCAGTGGACACATTAGAGGTCTAATAGATCCGAGAGGACTCTATAAAAAGTACCTGTCATCTTCACAATAATATCTCATAAGAGAGCTTGTTGGCCCCCTTGTGAAAGCAATTAAGTTAACCTCTTAGTACCGGCCGCACACAAATGTGCGGCCTCCCGGTGTCTGGGCCTAGACGCCGAGTGGCCACACATTTGTGTGCAATTAAGAAAAACATATGTGCTGAGAGCGCACTCCCAGCACTCCCAGCACACATTTGTGTGCAATTAAGAAAAACATATGTGCTGAGAGCGCACTCCCAGCACACATGTTCGGTACTCACGGAAAGGTCCCGATCTCCTCTTTCGATCGGGACCTTTCCCAATCATGTGACCGCCATGACGGCAAATCATGGCGGTCACATGAGCCTAAAAACCCGTCTCCCGGCTTCTGAAACCCTTAAAGGGCCAGGAGGTGCCGCCGCCAAGGGGTTAAACACATTTTTTTTTTGCTAAAAAAGTACTTGTTATCCCAAAACATTATATATTTTTAAGCAGAGACTCTAGGGAATAAAATGGGTGTTGCATATTTTTATGTAACACAATATTTGCACAGCAGTTTTTCAATTTTTTTGAAAAAATACACTCTAATGAATTTTAATGCACAAAAACACAATATAATACCCAATTGTTTATTAAAATTTAAAGATGTTTTGCCAAGTAAATTGATACCAAACATGTCACTCTTTAAAATTGCATCCACCAGTGCCAAACTAAAGTACCTTAATTATCTTCAAAGGTGTTGCTTTAAAACCCTTTACAGGCTACCAATTTAGAGTTACAGAGGAGGCCTGGTGCTAAAATTATTTCCCTCACTCTGGTGTTTGTGGTTATACCTCACATGTGTGGTGTGATTGTTATGAGGGACATACATGCCAATTGACATTTGTATGTGAGCATGGGGGAATGAGAGAGCTTTATTTATTTTTTATTTTATCAATTTTATTTTTTTTTTAAATTACACTGTATCTATATTTTTTTATTTCTTTTATTGTTTTCAGAAAGGGTGAACAACATTCCTTGTGATAGCATGGGCCATGACAGTTCCTCTTTATGAAGAAATCTGGGATCTATTAAACCCCATATCTCTCTTCTGCCCTCCAAAGCATCTGATGCTTGTTCAAGCAGGTAAGGCTTGCTTACATGAGACAAAAACTGTAAGTGACAAAATCCTTGCAGCTTCCGGTTTCTGACATCACACAGTGGGAGGAACAACATCAGTTCCTCTCACTGTGTCCCAGGAACTGGATTAAACCGGTCGCATCCTTACCAGGCTCCCTGATTGCACAGGAGAGCAGCGGTGTAGGAGGGGGGTGGACCCCCCTCCACTGCCTGTAAAAATAATCCAGTGGCTTCTTAGCTGCTAGGATTACTTTTCCTTGAAGGGAATCACCAGCACTAAAAAATAATATCTTGATAATTGCTGCAGCTGGAACAATGACCGAAATATCACCTTTCCTATCCAGTGACATACCAGTACATTGCTGAATGGGAGTGGTAACGACTATATTAATAATTACAGAGCTGCATTAATTTGTGACTTTTATATTTTCAGCTTTAATTCACATAAATCACTTTACATTCTATAGAAATATATATCTTTTTAATGGCAGCATGCTGTTCAAATATCAGGAACTTGAACATTATAGCTCTCTTATATTTCAAGATCTTTTCAAGTTAATGGACAGGCATTATGGAAGTGAATATGAAATGAATAGATTATGTTTTACTACTCAGGATATTATTATTCTATTGATCTAATTTCTATTGTTCTCAAACGTAAAAATTATTTCCTAGTAAAGGGAATTATTTCTAATATAGCTAAATAAAAACTACTGGAAGCTTAGTTTTAAAGCTTTACACGACATTTAACAATTTTCTGAAATGTGTTGACATTTACTTGTCTAGTTTTATGCAGAATTAATGATTTATTTTGACGGAAGGAAGTCATGAAGGATTAAGCATGGAAGTGAAATGGTGATTTTTTTTTTTTTACTTTCGTATACTGGGTTTTTTTTAAGTTAGATATAAATTAATAAATCTTAAGCTTTCAATTGGAATTTAGCTGCAACCTATAATGTAGAAATCTGAACTGAAAATGTTAAAAAACAACCGTTATAACCCTTGTACCCTTATAAATGTTATTCCATTTTAATAAATTTTGACATTTATATATAAAAAAGGTGCCCCAATGTGTAGAAAGTGGTAAGTGTGTACATACTTTGCAGTATGTCCATGAACAGTTTGCTAAATTTGATATTCAAAATTTTATATCCTGACAAAAATAAATACATACATTTCATAGCACACTTTTGTAGAAGGAATGAGTAAATTTAACCCTACACTTAAAGGTCTATTGCTTCCTTCCTTATCAACTCTTAACGCAAAAGTACAGACCTCATATACTTGAAAGCCTAAGTTCTTATTGCTCCGGGATTTCTAGGATTCAACAGTGTTTCCGTCCTCCAACCTTTCAGTTTTCTATTAAGTTAATACATATAAACAGTGTTCAGTTATAAAGAATTATAATTGCCTATATCATGGTAAGATTAGGAAAAGCAGCCTGGATGGCTATTGTTCTCTATGGTCAATTCCATTGCAATATTGGTATTTCGGAAAGGGATCATAGAGCCACATAATAAACACTGCCTACCTTTTCTTACCAGATTACATTTTCTTAGTTTCCTAATGGAATGATGTAAACATTTATGGAATAGATTTAAGATATTTCTAAACCCAAGAACAAAAAATAATACTATAACAGCTTATCAGTCCTCAGATGTGGTGACTGCATTAACTTAATTTTTTAATACTTTTTTTTTTTACTTTTAGCAGATGATCCTTCCAGTAACACACATCCTGTCTTAGTGTGATAATGCTTACTTACTGTACTGTATCTATGTAGAAGCAGCAATGTCCTCCTAGGACAGGACTACAAAAACCTACCCCTCCATGAATAAAATCAGGCATGTTCTATAGTCTGCAGAGATTACAGGAAGTGGTGTAAATAGTAAGAGTGCAGCACAGGCAGAGAACACAGAAAGTTAGCAGCTGGCAATATTTCTGTAAGATCAATAGCTTTATCGTTGTGCTCAACAAACAATTTTCTATTTAACAGACCAAAGGAAGCAAATAAGAGAAGTTTATTGCTAGGGTTTAAATACATTCTAAATATGTTGTGTGCATGTGCTAACTACCATTTTATTAATTTAATAGACTTAAAAACAGAAGAAATATAAAAAGAGGGCATGTACAAAAGTTTGGAAACCCAATACAGTAGCAAATTCTTTGGTAGAAACCACAGCTTCCAAATATTTCTAGTTGCCAGCTTAACAGCCTTTCTTTTTTTTTTTTGTCTCAGTAATTGTTCCCACTTTTAATTGGTTAATGCTTAAATCTCAAATTGTCTGCAATGCTCTTGGAGTTTAGAATCTACCCACAGATATTTATTAACAAAGTTGTAAATGCTATTCAAAAACCTTTATTTTTTGTTTTTTTAAACACAGATGACAGTTAATTTTAAGATGTTTTTGAATCAGGGCTTTGTAAGAACAGTCAATTTTTCTTTTAATAATTTTCTGCATAATATTCTTTTGTGAACTTAAAGTGAATGTAAACCTAAATGGATAACATTTAGTTTTCTAAATCATTGTGTATCATAAACAAATGTTCTCTCTTAGAAAATTTTGTTATCACTTCTTTTTCATCTTTTGCATCTCAGTGCTGGTAATTTACTGCAGCCACTCCTCGTCTACATGCATGCACCCTGACGGTGGGCATATGTCATTGCTGAGTATGGGCTTCCCAATAATGACAACTGCAGATTGTGCTTTTATAATGATTTGGGTATTATTTTAATCAAAGCTGCAGATTTTAAATGGTTCAAAATGACTTTTAAAATAACATTGACAAGTTAAAGCTTAGCTTATTAGATTTTAGTGACTGGATTTATATACAGTATATTCTAACAGATTGCAAGATGTTTCATCTTCAAATTCCTCTCCTTTTTGCTAAATTTACCTTTAATAAACAGCAATAGGTTTTTTTTTATCAGACCATATGTTGTTTACATGCTTTAAATAAGTGCTTTTGTAATTACCGTACATCTAATGTAAACTCTCCTTCTGATATCTCTTAATCTTCAACATATATAGTATGTCCATGCAACCTAGTGGACAGATTCCTTATTCCACTTTTCATGCTAAACTGTCTTGCGGGTTGTTTGCAATAATATAGATGCATTATTTCTTTGCTTGACCAGTCCACAATCAGTTCTACCAGATATATATCTTAAATTAGAAAAGTGCAGCGCTAGATAACACAGTGTAAAATACAGTAAGTTCGATCTAAATAGTTCGATCGGAAATAAATGTTCATAAAGAATCCTGCGATCGATTCATAAGTAAGGTGAACACAGCTTGTATCAAATCCGGAAAATGGCAGAAATGCGCACTCACCAACCGCGCATAGGAAATGCGCATATGTGTATCAAATCCCACAGATGTCGTTATCCTCCAGAAAGGGGTGTCATCAGACGATCTGCTGGGCTAGACGGGCCTCCTTAGATATGGATCAGCCAAGGTATATATTCCTTCCATACTGATATAGCAGTATCCCCTCTGATGATGTGCCTTAGCACGAAAGGCCTCAGGAGGAACTGACAGCCTGTGACGCCTGATCTAGCCCCAGACACGTGTAGGTCTGGCGGCCAACTGCTACTAGGGTCAGTACTTATTTTCTTTTAACAAGTCCTCACTGTGTGTTCTTCTGGCATTGTGCCAGTATCTTGTTCACTGACCTGATTTTTAAAATTTTATGCACCAATAAAGCATTTACATACTACACTATGGGTACTTTCCCTATTTTTAACCCTCACTGAGGGGTTGGCAGACACAGCTGTATATCTTATCCAGAGGAGGGAATCCTGCACCTGGAAGGAATATATACCTTGGCTGATCCATATCTAAGGAGGCCCGTCTAGCCCAGCAGATCGTCTGATGACACCCCTTTCTGGAGGATAACGACATCTGTGGGATTTGATACACATATGCGCATTTCCTATGCGCGGTTGGTGAGTGCGCATTTCTGCCATTTTCCGGATTTGATACAAGCTGTGTTCACCTTACTTATGAATCGATCGCAGGATTCTTTATGAACATTATTTCCGAAGAACTATTTAGATCGAACTTACTGTATTTTACACTGTGTTATCTAGCGC